TTACTGGGTCTCAATAAAAAAAAAAAAGATGATTAATGGATGGCTCCATATGGTTGCGGTGCATTTTTCGATGCTTTTTTCAAGTTGCAGGGATGAAAATGGATATGTACGGACACAAAAACATGTAGTTTGTTACATCAAATTCGGGGTTCAATACAAATAGTGTTGGATGCGTCCTATGTCCATATCGAATATCCAATAGACCATTTGGTTGGGACACAACACAAAAAAATATTGAATTCTCGGAGACGAAATATCCATTTAGTAGTATACGAACTATTTCTAATGAATGGATGGTCGGGAACACTGTTTGACTATCGATCGTTTAGCCCGTTTACACCGTTAAAACCCTACCTCGTGCTCGTGGTACATCGTTTCTGTTTAATCGAATAATATGGCGGGAGCGGGAGAGAGGCGCGCGCCGATTTTTATCACCACCACTCCCGCGCGCGCGCGCCGATTTTTTTTTATCAATGAATGAAGAGAAGAAAAAGGCTGCGTCCACGTCCGCGCTCGCTTTCACACGCTTGGGGCGTCACAGCCAGCGGTGGGTCCGTTTCTTGGTCGCTTCTGGACTGGCTTCCGCGCCGTAGCAGCGAACCGCCGGCCGATCGATCCTGCCGTCTCCCAGATGGCTGACGTTGTTCTGGGCCCCACCCTTCTCCCAGCCCGTCTCCCTGCTCGGCTGCTCCCAGCGTGGTCGTAGGCGTCAGCTTGCAGCAGCGCCTGGCCTGCCATGGGTGGGCGGGGGCCTACGCTGGCTGCTGCTGTTGTCGCTGCTGTGCTGGGCTTCCAAGTGAATGCGTGCGACTTGACTGTGTTGACTTCCCTTTTCCCATTTCAAAATTCTACGTATAGTATACCTTTTCCTTATGAGCTCTAGATTAGATAAATAATACGTATATTCATTTCAATTATCTCAACAAGTAGGGATGGAAAAATGGAAATGGATATCCATATCATTCGATACCCGTATACGCTAAAACTCGTAACGTGGGTATCTGTATTCGTATTCGTTTTTACATCATAGATACTACTAAATGGATAGACTTGAATTCGTTTTTCCAGTGTTTTTCTCTATCCGGTTCCAGATCCGTATCCGCAAAGAAAACAAGGTATCATGAACCTACTTAAACCTACTTAAACGTATTCTCTCCATAACGAGTGACCAATTATTTTGTTTCATTATTACTAACAATGCAATTGAACCCATTTTAATAGTATATATATAAATAACTTTTAGTGTTAATTTAAAATTATTAATGATACGCAAAGATTAAATTAATTTAGTATTTTTTTTATCTGGTTTAATCTCTGCTTGTGTGATAATTTTGTAATACCAATACTATTGATAAAGTAAAATGGCTATTTGTTTTCTACTATTTTATTTGAATTTCTTCACTTGATCTATTATTTTATTCAATATTATTCCATTATAATTTAGGTTACTTCGATATTGGAGATCGTTAGAAGTATACTTTCATTTAGTTCACTTTGGTTAACGATGTACTTAGGGCCTGTTTGGTTAGGGGTCACTAAAGTTTAGTAACTTTTAGTCACTAAAATACCAAACACTCTGACTAAAAGGTGTCACTAAAATTTAGTGGTTTAGTCACTGAGGGGTAGCTAAAAGTGACTAAAAGTGGTCCCATGTGACTTTACTCTCTTTCTCTCTCCTCTCCTTTTCACTTTTAGCACATGGATCCAAACATAAGATTACTAAACTTTAGAGGGGTGACTAAACTTTAGAGGGGTAACTAAAGGAACCAAATAGGCCCTTAGTAGTAAAATTTAATTCATTTATGTTAAATCTAATAATATACATTTTGAGTTGACTTGAGTAAATATCCTAATAGAAATCCGAATCCGAGACATCCATTTTGTATTTATATTAAAAAAATATCTGAATCCTTATATCCGTTTCCATCCCTATCAACGAGCTTTAGGCAATGAATGATGCACTCTATTTCAGTATTTAAGTTTGTTTTTTCAACAGTGAACATTTGAACCGCTAATGAATGATGCACTCTATCTTTTCATTCTCATTTTTTTTAAGTACCAGTTGTGGGCCTGTGGCTAGATTAGTTCAAAGCCGATTATATAATTTAATAATACTTTACCATATTATTTGTATACGTGATCAACTATATAATGCTGATTATATGTTGTCCATTATTGTATCGCACCGGTCCAAAACTACCAAACCGGCGGTGGTGGACTCGGGGCTAGTCATACACGGTGGCTAGTTCATCATATTTATGAAATGAACAATGAGGTGACACATGCAAAACTGCAATTCTATTATAAAATTGGTAGAAAATAATAATGTTTTGTTAGAACAGGAAACTATACCATCAATAGAAAATGGTAGGAAGTTTTCAGCATCGTCTTAAACCCCTAGAGGAAACAATGAGGAGATGCTTGCTATGTGCTACTCCCTCTGTCCCAGAAAGAAAGTCGTTATGGAATGCATGCATGTCAAATTTTCTTAACTTTAATTAGGTTTGTAGAAAATGCGTGCAACATTTATATCTCCAGATAAGTTTATTATGAAAGTATATTCAATGATCTATCTAATGATACTAATTATGTATTATAAATATTATAATATTCTTTTATATATAATTGGTTAAAGTTAAAAATAGTTGACTTCTCGAAAAACGAGAACAACTCATATTCTGGGACAGAGGGAGTAAGAGTGTAAGGCGATGGCACATGGGACAAGGTCAGGAAGAGTGTCTGATGCTGCTTGTTGGAGGAGGAAGAATGATGGACCGTTGAATCTTCATGTGTTGGCATGAGATTGGTGCATGTCTCACGTGCCTAGTAGATATAAACCTCAGGCCTGTGTGGATCCATGGAATTGAATTAATTCTAATAAATTCTAATTTAGGTATATATTAATCAAGCTACTATGGTTATATGTGGAATGTATTTGTATACTATTGTTAGCCATACAAGAGAGATGCGTATATGTTGCATTTCTACTATAGGGGAACGAGTTGAAGAGCGTACTACAAGTTGAAGAATAGAAACATAGCATAGTTATGTATAGAATTAATTTTCATCTCACACCCTATGAGTTTGAGATAGAGTTACATGTGAACTTTGGAAAGTTATAAAATCTCAAATTCCAAACCAAATAGCTTAACCCATTAAGTAGATTCCAATTCCTCCAAAATGAAGTGATCCAAACGGCCCCTTATATATTTTTATGCAACCCGTGTCAAATATTGGAACAAAATTGTAAGATCCCTTTGCAAATAGGTTCCTAGCGCCCTAGTTTTGGAATATATCTAATAATAAGGAAGAATAATGCATTCTCTCTCTCTCTCTCTCTCTCTCTCCCCCTCCATCTTTAGCAAATATTTTTCCTCTAACATTTCCATGTGCGTTTTTTTGTTAACCGTTTAAGCACATCACTCTCAAATATTTACTTTTCTTATATTCGCTAAGATTTGGCGACCCACCATATTTCTCAAGAAATGTTTCGTAGAGATCTTATTTCGTATAGTACAATTGTCAAAGGTATTCATTTTCCCCTCAAGTTCGTACGTCTTGCATTTGACACACAATCACGAATACATGAGTATTAATATTTTTTTAAATGCTTTTCAGATTTTGTAAGCTGAGATTATGCATCTATCTAGCATTCACGTTGATTATTACTCTCCATTTTTGTTTTCAGACATATTAACATTTATTAGGGCATGTTTGGCTTTCTATTGCACGTTGCCACACTAGAGCTTCAGTCGTGCCATAAGTGCGGCACACGAAAATAGTGCCACACTTTAGTGGAGCTACGACATAAAAAAATGAACTACCGGCGCCTAAGCAGGTGGCACACTACAACTTACATCATGAATCAAACGTTAGTTAAAGTTACGCGAGATGAGGCATGATGACTTGTGGCAACCTTTGTTAACGAACCAAACACACCATTAAATGCGACAAAATTCGTATGTTTAGGAGTAATAAAAACGATTAGACTTTTTCGAGTGCACTCTCACGTGCCTACTGGACTACCGGTGCAATGCATTTGCGTCGCCTTGTAATATTCCCTCTGTCCACAAAATAATACAATTCCGACTATTCGAAGAGTTAAACAGTTCGAACTTTGACTAAATTTATAATTCGTGGTATGAAATAAATATCATTAGATCAGTTATATAATCTATTTTCATAGAGACATAAATGCTAATACTACTTTATTATAAACTTAGTCAAAGTTGAGTTAATTTGACCAGTACGGATCCCATAATTGTATTCTTTTATAGACGGAGGAAGTAATTAGGATTTACAATTAGGAAAAAAGATTGATTTCACTATGGTTAAAAACTTTCAAGGTTGTATCAGGATAAGTACACCAAAAATGAATAAATTTGTCGCGGAAGCCGGACTGCTCGTGAGACGCACACAATTCGTGCGGTCCAAACTCACGCGAGAAACCCATCCCCAAAACTCCCACGCGCACCCAGAATACTCACCCTTTCCGCATCCCACTCCCACTGCTTCCGGGCCCCACGACACCCCACATCTCCCAGACGCACACGTCATCGTCGGCTCCGTCCCGAGTCCCACCCTTACCCACCACACAAACCGCCTGCGGCCTCGTAGCATTTCTAACAAACTCGACCAGGGGCCAGTCGTCAGATGGCCTCCACGTGGCACGCTCCGGCATCCCCGCCCTCCACGCCCCGCTGCCCACGGTCACGGGAACTGCCAGCGCTGACCGTCCGATCCTGCCCTTCGCCGCCAGAGGACGGCCCAGATCCTGCCCGGCCCGGCGCGGGCAGCCCACGCGCTGCTATTAAAGGCACCCCCGTTCCGCTCCTCACCTCACCTCCTCGCCCCCCAACGCATTGCCGAACGTGTCGCGCTCGCGCCTGCCCGAGCCCGATAAGCCCGCGAAGCCCAGGCCCAGCCAGACCCACCCGCGAAGCGATGCGACGGAGGAGATCGTGAGATCGCGGGCCGCCGCCACCCCGCTGTCGCCGGCGATGACCTCCGCCGTCCTCGCCGGCCGGAATGAGGTCCACCACGCGCACCCGCACCACCGCCACTGGGGCGGCGCCCGCGTCCCCCTCATGCCCAATCCGTCCTCCAACCCTAACCCTAGGCGCCACCACCCCGCGGGGGGCCCAAACCCTATCCCCAGCGGCTCGCCGCCGGCGCCGCCGCGGGCCGTCCCGGCGGTCGCCGCGGCCGAGCCCTTGCCGTCGTCTTCGGGGCACGTGAAGTTCAGGCCGTCGGAAATGACCCCCGCCGAGGCCAGGCTTCTCCGCGCGCGGCTCACCGGCGAGCTCGGCCGCGTCCGCGCTTTCCTCTCCCGCATCGACTCGTTGCAGGACGGGCAGCGCCGGCGCCGGCGCCCGGAGCCCCCCGCGCGCCGCTCGTCCCCGTTCCCGCCGCCGGTGCTGGTGGAGGCGATGCGGAAGCGGTGCGCGGACATCCTGATGCGGCTGCGGAGATCGAAGAAAAGCGTGTGGTTCAACTCCCCCGTCGACGTGGAGGGCCTCAAGCTCCACGACTACCGCGCCATCATACGGAGCCCCATGGATCTCGGCACCGTCAAGCAGAACCTCACCGCTGGCCGGTTCCCCTCGCACGAGGCGTTCGCCGGCGACGTCCGGCTCACCTTCAACAACGCGCTGCGGTACAACCCGCCCGACCACCACGTGCACAGGTACGCCGGCAACCTCCTCGCCTCGTTCGAGGGGATGTACAAGGAGGCCGTCTCGTGGTTCGAGCAGCAGCGCCAGCAACTCGAGCCACCAATGCAGCTCGATCTGCCGCCGCCGCCACCACCACCACCACAGCTGCCAGTTTCTGTGCCAGTGCAAGCGCCCCTGAGGATGGGGGGTGGGAGGAAGCCCAAGCCCAAGGCGAGGGAGCCAAACAAGAGGGAGATGGATGAGGAGGAGAAGCAGAAGCTGAGGGTGGAGATTGAGAACCTGCCCGAGGAGAAGATGCTGAATGTGCTGCAGATTGTGCAGAAGAGGAACAGTGATCCAGCATTGACGGGGGAGGAGGTGGAGCTTGATTTTGATGACCTGGATGTCGAGACCATGTGGGAGCTTGATCGATTTGTGGTCAATTGGAGGAAGGCGCTAAAGAAGAACCAGCGGAATTCTATGATGAATGGTGATGCTGCTGCCATGAATGGACACGCCATCGATGTGACAATTGTTCCGGATGATGATGACATGGTCGAGGTTGCTGTCAATCCGTCTGTGGTGGTTGAAATTGGAGAGTCCGTATGTCATTCTGAAGCAACCTTAGCTGTTCTATTTTGTAGTTTTCGTGAACCTGTTATGTTTGGACTCTGTTCTAATGTTGATCCTGTTTTTGTTGCCTATTTTAGGAGACTGACATTCCAAAGAAGAGGGAAATGGAGGCGGAGGACGAGTATGTGGATATCGGTGATGAGATGCCAACGGTGAATTACCAGTCGGTGGAGATTGAGCGGGATTCCCCAGCAGCTAGCGGCTCAAGCGGATCAGGAAGTGGCTCATCTTCATCCAGTGGTACGGTGGAGCAAATGAGTATTTGTCACCACAAATGCTGAGTTATCGATTGAGTAGCTCTTTAATTCATTATTAAAATTCCTTGCAGATTCTGACTCGGACTCTGAATCTGATGGGGATGATGCAAGCGCCCCGCACTAGGTGGTTGCTCTTTTATCTGACTGTAGGATTAACGATGAGTAGGTGACTGAGGTTCCTTTTGGTGAGGCATTTTGAAGAATGGTATAGCAAATTGGAGGGGGCTCTTTGTTCATGCAAGTCGTTGTCAGGTGTGTTCGTTTGTGTATGTGGGTGCAGCTTAGGTTGTCGGTACTTGGTAGTGAATAGGTAGATGGTTGGGTAGATTGGGAGACTACTGTAAAGAAGGGAATGTAATCTGGAATGGAATGAAGAGTAAAAGTAGCAATGCCTTGGCATTTCATGATGTCTGTTGCTTTCTTTGTATATGTTTCTTACTGCACTAGCCGATCTATTGTGCACATATGTTTTATTAATGTTCATCTGACATTACAAACTACATCTGAAAGAGTTCGCTGCAGTGCCTTAATTTGGTTCCAAAACACTGAAACGTACCATTGTACATTGATCCTGGTGCAAATTGCTGTCATGCTAATGCTTTTTGCCTGATTGCAGAAATATGTATATGTTTTGCTCTGATTATTATCTTATAATGTTACTAAATATTGTAATCCTGATCGTCAACATTAGCATAGCATACAGTTCTGCTTGAAGCATTTCCTTTATATATTTGCTCAAACCCGAACTTTAATCTGCAACGTCTTTGCTGCGACATCTCAGAATGATCTCACCTTTCTAATCTGAACATCCAGGTTGAGACGGGTATTTCTGACATAAGTTGACTGTTAGAACACATTCTGTGCAGGAACTAGAAGCGCCAGATGTCCTCTATTGCCTTGGCATTTCAAGATGTCTGTTACTGCAGTTGCCGATCTATTGTGCCCATACGTTTTATTAATATTCATTTGACATGACAAACTAAATCAGGAAGAGAGTGCTGGAGTGCCTTAATTTGGTGCCAAAACACTGAAACAGACCATGGTACATTATCCTGGTGCAAGTTGATAGCATACTGTAGTTCTGCTGGAAGTGTTTCCTTTATGCTTCCTTATCAGAAGAGTGTCAATTCTCAGCTCACGACAAGTCAAATATTTTTAACTTTGACAAAATATACTCTTCTAGTCAAATATTTTGAACTTTGACAAAATATACATGCGAGAATATTAATATTTATGAACAACTAAATCATAAAATACAATTTATAGTAAACTTTTTTGAAGATACAAATGTTCTATGTTTTATAAACCTAATCAAGTTTTAGAAAGTTTGATCTGTACGACACTATTTTGGCTATTTTGGGATGAAGGGAGTACATCTTTGTTCAAATCTTTCCTTTAATCTGCAACATCTTTGCTGCGACGTCTCAGAATCATCTAACCTTTTTAATCTGGAACGTCCACGCTGAGACAGTTATTTGTGACAGTTTATTTATACTAATTGTTCGGAGACAGTTATTTCTGTATTCAAGCAGTAACTAGAAGCGTCAGATGTACTCTATTGCCTGCAGGCACAGCAAACTGCATGTACGCTTTGGTATCTGAGATTTTTGGTAGATCTGATCGCCACCAGTGCCGCTTTGGTATCTCTGTTCGTTTTACGTAACCAATTTAGTTTTGATCGCTAAAGTTCGAGATGTCATTACCCTTGCTTTTTCTGTCCTCTATGGAAGCAGTGTCGTTTCGGTATTAGCTTGCCCCATTGCCAGTTTTGCCACAGTTGCTACCTGCTAGTCTGTTCGGCAAATTCTAGGGGACACAGACGATGGCTGCTTCTCTGTTCGGCAAGTGCCAGGGGTCAGCCGCTTCTATCGGAAAACTTGGGGTCAGCCGCTTCTAACGGAAAACTTAAGTATGGCAACACGAAACGGGCCATCATAAGGGAAATCTCTATCACTGCAGCAACGCAACGGTCACAATATTTCAACTGACAAAAAAGATACCAACATTCCAGTACCGGTACCACAACACAAAACAAAACAACTCAAAATTTCACTGGATCATCAGATCATCCTTTCTCTTGCCGCATCCTCGCAGAATCCCCCCTTATTCATCTTCAGTCATCACCAGAAGTGTCCTCGCCGAATGCCCCTTCATCTTCAGTCATCACCAAAAGTGGTCTTCTTTCCTGTGCAAATAAGAGGATGTGTATGCAGTGAGCTCAAAGCAGCTTTAGCAGTTAGAAAATTGTAAGTCATGGCCAATAGGTATGGCAGCACAGCCCAATGTTGCTCAAACCAAAATGCAGTTATCTTTACAAGTACAGGATGAATCCTACCTGCACTAGGAGTGCCAGCACTCTGCCTGTTACCAAAGCCACGGCCGCCACCACCACGTCCACGGCCACCATCCCTACCACCACGTCGTCCGCCAAATCTGCCGCCACCATCCCTGCCCCCAGATCGGTCACCAAATCTGCCACCGCCACCACGCCGGCCACCGGAACCGAATCTGCCACCAGAACGGTCACCAAATCTGCCACCACCACGCTGGCCATCGCCTTTTGGCTTGGCTTCATCAACATAAAGCTCATAGCCACCACCAATGTCAGAGCCACTGAGCTCAATGGCTTTGGACACTGAATCCTGATCCTTGAAGTCCATGTAAGCCATTCTGCAGAGTTAAGAAGATCAACACACTTGTCACTAGTAATTAAGCCTAAATTTCACAGATGGATAGTTACTGGGATGCTGGTGTTTTTTTGGTAGTGAAACCCACCCTTTGATTGCACCAGACTCATAATCAGTCGGGATAGAGACCCTTGTTATATCACCACATTCAGCAAAATGCTGTTGGAGAGCGCTTCGGATCTGGATTCAGTGTCAAACATTGGCACGAAATTTCCTGAGATAAAAATAGCTAAACAAAAAAGAAATTACCTCATCCTCTGCAAGATTTTTATCGAAACCCCGGATAAATATCGAGTTGCTGCTACCCCGAACTGGCTTCTGGAAAGATCCATCATTGCTGTTACAGTTTATCCATCCAATACACAGTTAATAACAATGGTAAGGCATCAGAAAGTGCACCGTAATGCTCTTAAGAGACATTAAGATCATCTTACCCACTGCGAGGAGTTTGTGTATTTCTTCCCTTAGCGAAGTCAAGTCTTACTTCACGACCCTGCAACTCTTTTGATTGCTTCTCTTTAAATGCCTGCTAGAAAACAATCCATTAGATATCTTGTTTAATTGCATATTTGCAACTATATCACTCAGAAGACAATTTTAAGCAGAAAAAAAATTGCATAACAGCTTTAGCTTCAAAGATAATCTCAAAATGACAAGATACAAGAAATATATAGTAACATTACCTTTTCAGCAGCCTCAGCTGAAACAAATTCAACATAGCAAAATCCTTTACGATTGCCATCCTCATGTGTGGGAAAACGAACATCAACAACCTCACCAGCATCCGCAAAAAATTCTTTCCTGCAAACATTAGTATTAGAACACCTGCTGCAAAAAAGGTTCAATATAATGTGTGACCTGAAGCCAAACTTACACATCGTCAAATTCAGCTCTCCAGGGGACGTTTGCCATAAAAAGTGTCTTCACCTCCTCCGTTGCTTCGTTTTGGGAGCCCATAGGTGTTTTAGGCTGCCATAGTATCAAATTATAAATGTTGCATCTATGTAACTTCATTAAAAGAACAAAAGCTCAAAGTAACAGATTCATACTTCTTTGGTAGCAGTTTGCTTTTCAGAGGCATGCATAGGAGCTTCCTGTGTTGTTTCAATTCAAACAAAAATGTCATAAATGCAAATTCAAAAAGATATAGTGAAACATGTGTCCATTTAAATAATGAGTCATACTTCAATTTGTGTAGTAACAAGTGAGAAAATACCTTCTTTGGAGTATTAGCAGGCTCTTCACTGTCTTCATCACTATCATCTTCAGAAGATTCATCCTCAGATCCACTGCTTGCTGATGCTTTTGGTGCCTGGTAAAGCATCTAGTTAATACTGGTTAACATTAATAACATGTTGCCTACATCGAAGAATTTGTGAAGTACCTTCTTTTGTTCAACTTTTGTACGCTCATCATCAGAACTTTCCTCACTACTGCCATCCTCATCCTCACTGCTGCTTCCATTCTTTGCAGCTGAAGGTGCTTCCTATTAACAGAAGAAAAACAATGTGAACAATGCAACAACAGGAAAAGAATAATGAAAATATGCAAAGAAAAATAAGCAAATTGAGTATTTGCAGCACCTTCTGCTTCTTTTGGGGAGGTTTCTCGTCCTCATCAGTGTCAGAGTCATCACTTGATTCATCTTTCATTTTTGAAGCAGCTCTCTTGGCAGGCTGAGTTTTACTTGCATCCTAATGAGTTTAGAAATAAGGTGATCAAAATGGCATAATGCGTAACATGCAAATGTTTACAGCAAAAAATGTTTTACACATACCTCAACCTCAGAATCACTCTCTGACTCACTTCCACTGGAATCTTCCTTTTTGGTAGCCACTACAGAAGCCTTAGACTTAGGAGGCACTTCCTGAAAATAATCATGTTACAACTCAAATAATGCATAACCATGGAAATTATTGGCACAAACTATGGTGAAGGACAAGAACAGGATATACAACGGTTAACCGAAATACATGTGAATAAATAAACAAACCCAATGCACACACCTCATCTGAGTCATCATCAGAGTCACTCTCAGACGGATCCTCCTTTTTCTTTTGTGCATCAATCACAGATGGTTTCTTTAGAGGGACAGCAGGTTTCTGAAAAAATGCACACAGAAGAGAAACGATACCATCAGCTGGCTAAGCTAAATAAGCATCTCAGGGCACACAACATAATACAAGTCGGCAATAATATGATGACAAATCAGTAAATACATATCTACATGTTAGGTTAGAGATGGCATTGCATCAGAAAACCTAATGAAAATGCAATCATTAATCTTAAGGTAAAATGGAATTAAAGCCAAATAAGCATGAATGTTCCACTCACAACATCATCATCTGACTCATCGTCAGAACTGTCCTCATCGCTGCTGCTTTCTTGCTTGCCTTTCTTCAAACCATTTTTGGCAACAGCACCCAAGGGTTTAGCAGCAGCCTTCTTTGCAGGTTCCTGAATCAAAAGAACATGAGTTGGTAGCTCAACATCTGAAAAGTACATTCAAATAATCAATTCGTTTGCTGGCAATTTATCCTAGATTAGTAACAACTAAACATTAATCTGGGCTGCCATGGTGGTAAAATGGAATTAACTGTGCACAAGACATAAGACAAACAGGAAACTTCAACTCACATCATCGTCGTCGTCATCATCCAACTCATCTTCACTGCCCTCATCACTGCTGCTCTCTTTCTTGCCTGTCTTCGAACCATTTTTCGCAACAGCAGGCTTAGCAGCAGGCTTCTTTGCAGGTTCCTTAATGAAAAGATGAATTAGCATCTAAACATCCTCTGAAAAACCACATTCAATGACTCAATTTGCTGGCTGCTGATTCTTTCAGCTCCGAAACCTGCAATCAATGCCATACCTCATCAGATTCAGAGGTCGCGTCGCTGCTGTCATCGTCACTGGATTCTTGTTTAGCGATCTTAGCAGCAGGCGCCTTCTTTGGTACCTTAATCTGTGGAAACAGAAGTTAACTATGTTACAGAAGAAGAAACTTCAATTGATAAAAAAATATCACCTTTACAAGCCATACTCAGACTCAGATTCTGCAAGGGACTAGATCATCTACTGCAGCAGCTATTTCTGTCTACCCTCCCCACCTCAATCAAATCATTAAAAATTCTAAAAATAAAAAATCCCGTACCCGCCATACGTACGAGAGAAACAAGAACAAGCGTCACCGCATACCTCCTCTTCGGACTCGGAGTCCTCTTCGGAGCCACTGCTGCTGCTCTCAACCTTCTTGGGGGGCGGCTGCTTCTTTGCCTTCTTGGCGTCCTTCTTGGACGGCACCACGGCCTTCGCCGTTGGCGCCGCCTTCTGCTTCTTCGCGCTCACCGCCTTCTCGATCTCGTCCTCCGCATCCCGCTTCTTCCCCTTGGGCACCGGCACCGGTGCCGCGGCCACGGCGGCCGCCTTCTTGCTTGACTTGCCCATCGGAGGAGAGGGAGAGGAGGCGGGGTGGGAGCGGAGAAACCCTAGTGGCTGCTAGGGTTTTAGGGGAGGAGGGGATTCGAGGAGGAGGCGACGGAGGTTGTTTATAGGCCGGGGTGGTCGGGTTCCATGGGCCGTGGTGGGCTTTTATATGAGCCTTATTGTCTGTGCGCACAACGCGGGGTCACGGTCTTGGTGGCAAGAGTAGAGCCCAAACAAAAAATGTTAGTTTCAAACAAAAAAAACATTTCTCCCGCTCCAATATTGTCATTTTGCTAAAAAAAAGAAAGAGTAAAGTGGACTTTGTTTGATATATTATTCTAGTCCAAAAATTAGCAAATCATTCATTTAGGTCTTCACACTTATTTTCCGGTCTCTAAAATTACAAATCAATCGTTTAGGTCCTCAAACTTGTTTCGTTGTGTTATCCCGATACCTAAACTTACAATCACCCATTAGATCCAGTCTAAACAGGTCTAGCCTCGTGGCCGTATGTGTTGTCTGTGGCATGCTCACATGCGCCCCCATGTTCCTTCCTCCTCTCCCCTGAGCTCCCTCTCTCGTGAGCTCACGACTCAAGAGCGACATGGCTTGGGAGGCACGGTAGGGGATGGGCGACACAACCGGGTCTTGGCGCGCTCTCGGACAACTAGGGTGCGACCGACCATAGGGGCTCGCCCCCCGGGGGGGCTTGGCACAATTAGAGGTGTAGCCAACTGATAGGTCAAGATGGTAGACTAGATGAGGTGAATAGTCTTTTATAAAAATAAATGTGTCGACTAACCGAAACAAATGTGAAATTAAAACTACTCAATCTAGCCAATGCTAAATTTATCTATCTATGTTCACAAGTAGCTTACACAAGATCATAATTAAGAAACTAAGGTGTCAGGCTAGGTAGAGCTCACCTACATGATTCTAGATCACATAAACCTATGCAACTAATACTCAAGCAAACGAGAAATTCCTACACATATTAGTGAGCAAAGCGCACAAAGCCTAAGCACACTAGCACTACCCAACTAGCAAAGCTACACAAGCTAAACTAGATAGCAAAACAAGCCACACAAGCTAAGCAAGGCTACTAAGCTATATAAGCCTATTATAGTATGACAAAGCTATGGTTACACAAATGCCCTGTTCTCTTCTCTTATAATCTGTACTTTTTAGCTTATTTTTTTAGCTGAAACAGTGTTCGGCTTGTTTTTTCAGTGAAGCAAACGGGGCCAAGATTGTGTCTATAAAGAAGAGGTCATAATGAAATCTCTGGAACTCCAAAAAGAACTATAATTTTAACAAAATCATGGTTCTGGAGACTCCAATATCTGTTGTGTTTAATAAACATCTAATAACTTTTGAACCAAAGTATTTTTGTAAAACCATAATATTTCTCTAATGCTTAAAAAAATACTTTACGTACAAATAGTGCCTGAGTATGTAAACTAATGTAACTACTTATTATAAACAATACTATTAGTTAATGGATCCTTGACGACGATCTGATCCATCCCTAGGTATGATCCAGTGCGGGTGGCCCCACATCCGTTCAACCTCGCCGGCGTTTAGCTTCATCCGCCCCATGCGCTCCGGCCTCACAAGGTCGGAGAAGCCGATGCCGTACGCGACGGCCAGGCGCCCGCACGGGTGCGTCACCCCATGGGCGAGGATCACGTACACGCGGTTCGCCCTGGCACCCGTCGGGTCGGCGGTGACTGTGAACCAGTGCGTGTCGTCGATGAACACCGCGCGGTCATCGATGTCGTGCACCGGCCTCCACTTCGGCGGCCTCCGGTGGCCCCTGTGCCGCGCGCGGTACGCCTCGGTGAAGAGCATGCCGTGACTGTCTCCACGCGCAGCGCACCAGGAGGATCGCGTCGTCGGCCGAGGGCGCTAGGTAGGCGACGTCGACGTCGTCCAAGTCCAAGCCCAGCGGCGCGGGGATCCTCGCGCAGGCTCACAGCGTGCCGGCGTGGATGACCATGGTTTCCAGCGTGTGATGCTCGAGGAGGAAGAAGAGCCCGCCGCGGTAGTACACGGTCATGTGCGAGCCGTGCCGCGACTAGTGCACCAGCGTCCACTGCTCGCCGCCATGCTCGCAAAAGAAGGCCGTGTCGCCGCGGGCTACCACGCGAGCCCATCGTCAGTGACGCGCGCATAGCGCGAGGGGTGTGGCTCGTCGTCGCGGTGGCAGTAGTCCCCTGGCTCCTCTGAGAATGGGATGTGTAGGTCCGGCAGCGGCACGCGCGAGCCGGTGAAGGGGTCGGCGAGGTGGCACGGGTGCCTATAGCACACGTCCGTGGCCAGCACCGTCCCGCCGTACGGGGATGGCATGAGCCGGCGCCCGGGCACCGGAGGCATTGGTGTTAGTTGATCTCCACCAAGAGGCCCAACGGCCTGTTGAGCCCTTAGATCTGCGCCCTGATTGGAGACGTCCAACCCTAATATGGTTGGTGGGCCCCCTGTCGCACAACACTATAAAGAGAGGTATGGATCAAGGCTCTAATTACGAGATTGACCGAAGTCGCCGTGACCCGCCAACAGAAAACCTAACTTGATCTAAAGAGGGTGCTGCCAGCGACGGGAAAACCCACTGACTTCGCCACCACCAACCTCACCGTCGCCTCTTCATCGCCACTAGACCTCGCCACCACTACGCTGGACTCTATCGCGCCGAGCTGCCACGACACCGGCATCCAAGCCGCTGCGGCGCCATGGACCGAATGATGACCTAGGGCGAGGTACATTAATAGTTTCCCCATCTAAGTAAGATGCTTACCCCTAATCTACATTTCAGAGGTACACTGTTTGTTAACAATGGTATCAGAGCTAGGTTAACAGTGTGTAGATCTAGTATGGGGTAGAGAATTGAAAATAAATAGAAGAGGAACAGAGGGTTCGATCCGTTTCGGATTGAAACCCTAACCCTAACCGGGTAAAAGAAAATAGAAAAGAGACAGGGAGGGTGGCGGGCGTCACTCAACTGTCGGTCACCACCGCCACCACGCGGGGGGAAAGGTGACGCACTGTCGTCTTCGCCGGCGCATGGCAAGAAAAGAACAGAGCCCGTTCGGATCTGAGAAGAGAAGAGAAAGGGGTCTCAGCACGCGAAGCCGAACCCTAACCCACGAAGCACTCGTTGGGGAAGATGGATAGTGACTCCAGTGAGTCAAACCCTAACCCTAATTAGGAAAGAAATTGAAATGCAGAGAGTTCAACCGAACCCTAACCCCAACCCCAAATCGGTTCAAGATCCAAAGAGAAGTGGAAGAGGGGAAGGGGCTTATCTCGCCGATCTCAAATCAAAACCGAAAGAAAAACCGAATAGGGTTAATCCTAACCCTAACGAAACCCTAACCCTAACCCTAATCCCCAATCGCAAGACTTAGATCTAGAAGGGAAAGAAGAAAGGGAAGGGCAGAGGCCTACCTCGCCGCTGCCGACACCGTCGTCGCACGGGATGAACAGGCTTCTGCCGCTTGACCGGCACATGAGAAGAAGGCGCCGCTGCCGCTAGGGCACGCCCCTCACGGGCGTGGTAGGGCACTGCCACCAGGCCGCTCGATGGCGGCGCGCTCACCTGTTGGGGAGCGCGTGTGTCGGCGAGGGGGCCGGCGACGACGCCATGGCTGTTTTGCTCTCTGTGCTCGCTCTCTGCGCTGCGGGGCTGAGAGAGGAAGGGACCAGCTGCGTGCTGAGGAAAGAGAAAGGGAACAAAGAGAATGCATTAGGGTTCGGGGTGATGACGCCGTCGTTGGGGTTTTGTTCACCCGATCCACGCGCGCCGCTGTCCGATGAAATCTGACGGTCCAAATTTATTGGACCGACTTTCGGCCCAGGCGGGCGAGCGCGGCGGGCCACTTTCCCGGCCTAGGCCCAGGTTGCGGCCTGGGCGCGGGGAAGCGCGCGTGAATGCGATCGTGGGCTGGCATCTAGGCGTGCTAGGCCTAGGCGGCGGCGGCGCGCGATGCTGATGACGTGCTGGGCTGCTGTTGCCTGCTGGGCCGGGCCAAAATGAATAGAAGAGTAATTTTATTTTATTATTTTTCAGAAGCAGATTTCGATGAATTTTGTCTAGTTTAATATCTCTGTTAAAATTTGAACCAACGGGATAATTTTTCAGAGAATATTTGAGAAAAGTTAATGCTTCTGAAAAATAGATAATGAATTTTTTCATGTTTCCGCTGCTAAAGAAATAATTTATTCTCCAGTTATTTTGAACCAACGTGATATTTAATTGGAGAAGAAGAGATTTTGATATGATTGTGATGTTATTTTCGGACCAACGTTGTGAATAACAATATCATAATTTTAATGAGTTTTGTCATGCATTAATTTTATTTCTGCCCAACGGTGATGTGGAATTAGTGTAGAGGACAATTGTATGCTTTAATTTTGACTAACGTTGGAATCAATGTATGCAATTGTTGTTATTATTTATGTTCTCACTCTATATGAATTGCGGTATCAGGCGGATACAACTTGATGGGTTATATAAAAGAGATCCCCACTCTCAAAGGTGGCAACTACACAGAGTGGAAGAAAAAGATTGACCTGGCCTTCATCTTGGTTGAGGTGGACTGGGTAGTCACCTCATCGTGTCACACTGAGCCTGTGGCACCGGTGAGGGAGACAAATGAGGCTGATGCCGCTTGGGCAACTAAAGAGAGAGATTTTGAATCTCAAAAGATGTTCTATGACCTTGAGCATAGGAAGTGGGTCACTGCCAATAAGAAATGTTTGGATGTGATAAAGAACACGATTGAGCCTGCAATTGTGGACTCAATCCCAGAGTGTGACACGGTCACTGAGTACCTCGATAGAATAAAGAGTTAATTCATTGGCTCTTCAAAGACATATGCTATCCAGCTGATAAAGCAGCTGGTGATGGAGAGGTACTCTGAAAATGGTGGCATAAGAGAGCACATAATATTTGTTATCACTATGTGATGATGTGAATGTTGTATGCGATGATGGAAACATTGCGTGCGATAATGAGAATGCAT